TTATCGCTTTAAAACTTTAAATTTTGGTATAATAATTCAAAATCTAATTTCTATTTTAGCTAGTCGAAACGTGCTGACAATTAGGTTTTTGAGGTTACGTCCCGCTCCACTTTTTACAAGACTCAAGATAATTTGAGGTAGACTCGCCTCCATTAATTAGTTTAAATTATAATTGCATGTATTATGTGAATTTACGTGATTTATATGCTTTAATACATGAGATGAGAATATGTCATGTGAGAAATATGATGTTGTTATGTTTGTCGTAACTTATATGCTTTAATGCATGAGAAGAGACGAGTATCTCTTATGAGATAAGATGAGAATGTTGTTCATAACTTATGTGCTTAAATGCATGAGACGAAACTACCAATACCCTATGATTTTAAAGAACCTGTGATTTTCAAGAAAATGAGCCAATGATGACGATGATCACTGTATATTTTGCATGATTATGTGTTCAATTATTCTGTAAATTAATTATCGGCGATGAGTCTACTGAGTATTTCTTTGAAATACTCACCCCGTTATTTTAACAATATTTGCAGACTTCGGAGGCGATCGTGATTGATGGGCAGTGTGGCAACAATTTAATGAANTCGGGTTTGATGGGCAGTAGTGGCAACGATTTAATTGATGGCGTTATTTACTTTTTAAAATTTACGTATTTGAACATTGTTAACGTACTTTGTTATTTCAGTTATTTCAAAAACTCGAGATTTAAAGTTTAATCAAATTTCTTAAGTTAATTAAATGAGTTTTGTTGCCGACGAGGTTTTACCGTTATAAATGATATGTTTAAAATTTAGTTATTTTTCGCAAATCTTTTTAGTTAATTCAGTTACAAAAGAATATGACGTGGCAATCCGGGTTCACGGAACTCGGGACGTTACAACACGGAATAAAGACATGAGTTAATCCATACTCCGTAGACAAACAGCTCCTATATCATCTGACAATGAGAACGAAACAAGAAGAGTTGAGAGTTCCATCATGCAACTTAAGACGAGAAAGAATTTGGATTTTGTAAAGGTAAAGCCTGATGCACGCATAAACATACACAAATGTCAGGGGAAGTGGGGGAACAAAGAGCTATCTCCAAGTGCTAGGGAGCATTTTCCCGCAAACCATTTAGCGAGAGAGAGAAAGCGAGAGGAGGGAGCAGAGATAGATATACGGAGAGGTAGAGTCTCGAGGGATAAAACATAAACGAGCCCAACTGTAGACTTTATAGCAGATAGCCAAAACTGATTCAATTCCACCTCTCAATAAGTAATGCAGGACTATGATTTATAAGCAGCCAAAATATCCTCATCAAACCCAAAAATGCATTAGCAGGTATGAACTATGCCTGATGATAAATGGAAAGGAAAACTTCCTGCTTTCAGGATTTTTCATATTCATGTACTCATTTCAAGTGTAACACATAGTCAACTTGATATATGTGCAACGTCTTCACCCAGACTTCAAGTCATCCACGACTATAATTAATTATTTCACTTAGCAAAGACCATAGTGGAATTTAGAAAGATGTACAAGCATCTTGATAAACCAATGTACAAAATATATTAAAACCAAGATTGTCAATGTATTAAGCATCCACTCGCATCCAAATCAATAAATGAAGATTGAATTGTAACGAGGATGAATAAGACCCAATAGCCAAATTATTTCTGATAGGCTAAAATAGAAAAGTACTGTATCAGATTGAATAACCATCTTAAAGGCATACTTCAGAACTCATAATAAGAGAAAGGAAATTCAAGTCAAGCAACAAAGAATAAATACTGTAAAATTTGAACATCAAAAACTCACATAATGACGCCTCTGCAATGGGTCTTTGAGACTGCACCAGTTGCTTTTGTTGATCAAGTGAAACGTGTTGTTGAAGCAAGGGACCAGATGTTTGAATCCTTTGGTGCATGTCTTTTTGTAACGAATTAGCCTGCTGTTGCAAACCCAATTGGTGTTGCATTTGACCTGGTTGTGATTGGATCTGTGACATCATCTGCTGCTGTGGTGGCTGAAACTGTGACTGTTGAGCTTGGGTAGGCAACAAGTTTGCCATATTCTGCTGCATTTGTTGCTGTACTGCTACCTTAGATTGCTGTACCATATGAACAGATTGCTGATTATTCTGCAGGCCAGAATTACCAGGTTGAATTCCAACCATTTGCTGCTGCTGGAACCCAGAAACATTAGTTTGAGGGCCTAACTGCTGCTGATGCACGTTTGGGAGACTATTCTGCTGAGCTATGGACTGCTGTTGATGTATGTTAGGAAGGTTTTGCTGACCAATTGTCTGCTGCTGTTGCAGGTTGGAATGATTATTCTGCTGGCTCACCATCCTTTGTTGATGCTGTTGCTGATGCTGCGCATCAAGAATGTTATTTTGTTGCCCGATTAGCTGATTCTGTTGCATGCTTGTAGCATTTGGCTGCTGCCCACTAAGTTGTTGTTGCTGTTGTGTAGGTAGTATTGAGTGCTGTGACATCGATGTTTGTTGCTGATGAATGAGGGAAGACTGTTGAGACTGTTGTTGCCTGAGGAGTGATTGCGATTGTTGCTGAAGTATAGGTTGAGTTGATTGATGAATAGATGACTGCTGATTTTGCTGAAGACTAGATGAAGTGGCCTGCTGCCTCAAAGAAGGTTGCATAACAGCCTGCTGGGAGGATTGGATCTGAGTTGGTTGCAATAAATTATGTTGCTGCTGCTGCTGCTGCTGCTGCTGTTGCTGGATCTGAGACTGCATAAGGGATTGTGAGATATTTCCCTGCTGGAACTTTTGCTTCATACGGTGTTGTTGCAATTGCTGATTGTAAAGATATTGCTGTGAATTCTGGGACTGCTGTTGTTGCTCTTGGGGCACAGCCGGTTGTTGCCTTCCTTGAATTGATCTCTGGGTATTGACAAACATATTGGAAGGCACCCCTTGCCCCATGGAATTTCCCATTACATTTGGAGCTACATTAGATATGTTTTGTAAGTTCTGCATGTTGGGATTCTGACCAACAACATTAGGCATGGTAGCCTGAGACACGCCACCAACAGGGGGAAGTGCAGGTGTCAAACTAGCAGAATTTGGCACTCCTGTTGATGGCATATTATTCTGAATACTTTGGGATAACAGCTGTTGTCGCACTTGAGATTGATTAGGCACCATTGGAATAGATAATGGCTGTCCCTGATTTGGCATTTGGGATTGCATGCTTTGTGAAGCTGTTAATACATACAAAAACACAAATACAAAGATCCTGTTAGGGAATGAATGATAACAAGAGAAAGAATAAAGGGAAAGGGACATATTGATAAATGCAAAGGTAACTGGACATCAGAAGTACAAAAGAAAATAAAAAAATTCAATTCATTAGAAACAAGACTATCTCGAAATTATTTTTTTCCGCAGGATGGATAAAATGATTCTGCCACCACGTGGTGCCCCTTTTTAGTAGAGATTCTTTAAAACTCATTTTTTCCCAAACTAAATTCCAACAGCACATTCTCCCAATAAAATAATTTTGCACGTAAACCCATAACTTTTCTTACACATTCTCCAATAAAATCGCTTTGCGCAAAATCTATTCCCAAAAAATCTACATCATACAAGCTCTATATATGATTAAGACGAAAGGAATATGCACAAAAGAATAAGGTGAGTAGAGAAGACTCAAAGCAAATAAAGAAGAAACTATTTTTTTTTTGATAACCGTGGATGTCCGGCCAACTTGCGCGCACCTCGACTAATTCCACGACACCCTGAGGTTTACAGCCGGGTACTCACCTCAAACAAAGAAGAAACTATGGGAACACTCTTCCTCAAATAGGTCATGGAAGGTTGCATTTATAGACAATTCAGGCAATGGATAGGAACATGAAAATGGGAAGATGAATAGTGGCACTTACAGGCAATTCAGGCTGGAAAGCTAGAAACCAGTAGGCTTTTAAAGATTCAGATGAATGGTGGTTTGCTTAAATTTCTAGAAACAGGAGCTTGTGGCTCCAATAGCTGATTGCAGAGCAAATGAACCAGAACTTCAGAAAACCAGGTGCATTTTGATAGACTTTGATTTATGAAGAATTGAGATATGTGGAATAACACCACTCTAATATGA